GCCGAGCTTGAGGTCCCAGACATCACCGAGTGTCATGGAGATGGCGGAGTATCGCTTCTGTGGCCTCAGGTTCTTGAAAATCTTGACCCAATGGCGCTCTTTGACGGCGTCAGAGCGCAGTTCTGCAAGAATCGTGTTTTCTTTGAGAAGTTGCTTCAGGGTAGTCTGAACGAATTCGAAAGCCTGGTACTGGCGCATCCGGCTGGGCATATCCTTGGTCATCTTGAGCAAGTTGTCAAGGTTCTGTCGCAGCTTGCGGGGCTGAATGCTGGTCCACAACACCTCACGAAGGTCGTCGATGCTGGCCCAGATGGTGCCAAGCGCAGACCAGACGGATTTGAAGTCTTGCACTTCCTCCAGCAAGGTCTCAAGTGCGTTTTCTGGAGATGGCGGTAGTCCAAGAGCTTCCTTGGCCTTCGAGATGTTGCTGGACTCGTTCTGAAGCTGGCTAAGCTTCTGGTCGAACTTGGCCAGAATGGCTGACGCTTCGGCTGGCGCCAGGTTTCCTGCAACAGGCTTGTCCTCTGCCCACTCTCCGGTGATGTTCACAATCTTCTGGCTGACGACTTTGTCCTCCGCGCCAATCTTGGCGCGCAGCGCGTCAGCTTGATCGTTCGCAATCTTGGTCTTCCTCTCCAGAACCTCATTCAGCGTCTGCCATTCATGGTCGATCTGTTCCATCTGCAGCCAGTCGGACGGGAACTGGTAACGCTGGCGAGCCAGAGTTGCTTGACCTTGACGGAAAGTGGACATCTCTGGCTCCCATTCGAGAACCTTCCTCTTGCATTGCTGTACTGTTGTAATAAAAGAGACAGCCTGAGCAGTGGATGAGGCCTCCAGGGTCTGCATCTCAAGATCCTTACGCGCCTTCTCTATCTGCACGTAAACGTCGTTCATGCGCTGACCAAGCCTACTGGCAAACTTGGTGAGAATTTCCTGCTGCCATTGGTCGTACTTGGCGTTGACCTTGACCTGCACTTGGTCGTAGTCGACAGTGACATAGCCAAACTGGCGACTGATGTCAGAGTTGTCGAAGGTAGCGCGAGTCTTACGAATTTCCTGGAGTAGTTGTAGCCATCGTGAAAGATCTTCGCCAAGGATGTCGTAGACATGGTCTGACTGCAGATCCCATAGAGACTGGAACTGGAGCCACTCATCCACGTATGATGAGATGTCACGGAGCTTGCCTTCGACAGCGCCATAGACCTCAATAAGCGAGTCGGTGCACCGGCTTGGCAAGTCAGAGAACTGGCTGGCAGAGGTGTCGTTGGTCGCTTCAAGTCGGATCTCGTATCGTGAAGCCTTGATCTTCTGGAGAGTGCAAATGATGGCGAGCCATTGCTGCAGTTGCTCAAGCCAGCTTGCACGGGCGTATTCTACCGGAGGGCTGAGGTAAATGACCTGGTTGCGCATAGTAATCTCAAGAGTCAATCGCGCCAGAGTCGGCTTGACTTCTGGTGCCTCCGTCGAGACAACTTCACTGACTGGGCGTCGAGTTCGATCTTCCTCGTCTACATTATTGAAGACCTCAATCCACAATGCAATAGCTCGGCTGAGACGGACCAGCAAAATCGATTCGATGCGCGCATTCATATCAGAAACCCAAGAGTCAAGATTGGCATAGCTCTCAAGGTTGAGCTGATCGATGGACTTCTGGATAGTTTCGAGGTTCTGTTGGAAGGCTTCCTTGGTGTAAGGACATGTCTCCAAATCCTTGAGCGACTTCTCAATCGCAGCGTTGATGTTGATGAGCGTTGCAACCTTGAGTTGAAGTAGTGACGTTGTAGCTGCGAAGTCACGTACAAATTGAACATGCTTGCTCTCACTACGGACGCTACCACCGCCAACAGGGAAACCAGATTGTCGGACGTGAAGATCGTAAGCATGAACAAAAGACTCCCACTTGAGGGGAACACCTTTGCCGACAAGCGCTTGAACCTCGTTAACGTAGTTGTTGAGTAAGAGCGCAACTCCGCCAATCTCAGAAATGGACCGCAGGGTCTGGGTGTACGTGCGGACACTCTCCATTAAGCTGACTGCGTAGGGGTAGACACGCTTGGCCTCTTTCGAGATGTTGTTGATGCCGTGAGGCACTTGGTAGCCGCGCCATGTCAGGTTACGAACTTCCTTAAACAGCGCAATGACTTGCGCGTCAAAGTTGACGTTCAGCTCCAAGATGTTTCCTGCGGCACGGTTCCTGCTGACAAGGAAGAGGCGTCCCGAGATCTGCAGTTTCCTCCTCGCCACTTCCTGAAGCCATGACTCAAAGATCGGCCTGGTGTCGAGCTTCTTCTTGAACATGCTGCTCTCAGCCTGGAGCTTTTGACCTTCAGCATGTAGCGCCCAGTCCTTACCGAGGATATCTTCGACCTTGCCCATGTAGCTCTCCAGCTGTGTTTCAATCTGTCGAGCCCAGATAACAGCACCGGAGACCGGGGGGAAATCGCGAAGCTGTGCCATGGCATGAGCTTCCGAATTACCGTACTGGCGCTTGAAGCGCTCGTGAAGTGCCAAGATATCCTGCTTGACATTCTCAATGAGCTGAGTCTGGTATTCGGAAATGGCTCCCCGAATCTTAGGTCGCACAAAAAGCGGATTGAACTTGGAGAAGACGCGGAACATCTCACTGGCGGTCTTGGCGGTACCAAGACGGTCTCGCAACCTAGCGATGATGGAGTTCTCGACACGGGAAGTACGCTCGTTGTACTTCTGCTCTGCTTGCTCGAAAAGTCGCGTGCCTTCAGGAGAGACATCCAGGACATCGACGTCCTTGAGCACATCGTAAGCCTCCTTGACTTCTTTGACGGCGTCAACATCCCCGATCTCCTCGATGATGACCGCCTCCTTGGCGGGAGCGCTCTCGGATAAGGAAGATTGCGAACCCAGGACATTAACGATGGTTCGCTGAAGCTGCTCGTGGTTCTTGCGGAACGTTGTAATGTAGCGAATGCGCTCCTCCGTCTCCTTGTGCCTAGCTGCAATCTTGATCGGGATGAACTTCTCGTTCCTTCGCCTAGTCACCTCACGAGCAACATTAGTGAATTCCTTTACGTTTTCCTCCCATGTGCGCCAGATGCTCTCAGCGACAGCCATGATCGCCTGGAACTCAGGGTAGTCCATGTGCATGAGTGTCTTGCCGTGTAGGAGATTGTGCAGTTGCTTGTCGAGGTCGCCGGAAATAGCCTCCACGAGAGGAAGCGCTCGGCGGACGGGGTAGGGGCAAATGCGGAGCTTCTTGTTCATGTGGCTAAAGATGGCCTGTATCGCTTCCTGTACTGCTTGTAGTGAGGTCGAAGATAGCAGCTGGTCGAGAGGAAATTCGCGCATCAGCTGGTTGTACTTCTGGACCAGATCCGTGCTCTCCTTGAGTCCAGTATCTGCGCTGAAGCTGACCGTCGCTTGGAAACGCTTCGCATTCTTCAACACGTCCAGAGTGAGCCTAACACCGGGACTGCCCAGTTGAGTCTCAATGTCCTGCAGCCTTGACTCCATAGAGATCCAGAAGTTGATCTCTTGCGCTGCAGTCCCAGTTGATACATCTCGGGATGTCTTTGTGATTGTCTGTATCGACTTGATCCATCCGTTGACCGTCGACTGCAATCCGTTAAGGAAGCTGCTGTCTTGAACAATGCCAGGGGGAATGAGTTCTGGGGAGGGCTTCACGTTATGCTGGGCAGCATCGTCGAGCGCACTCTGGATGAGCGGGTGGAGAGGCAGAAGTAGTTCCGGAATCTCGACATTCTGCTCCAGATTGCCCAGACTGACGGCCAGTTCCGCAATCTTCTTCCGTGTCGCCGAAATACCCGTCCTCGCATCATTATCGCCCTTGCTGTATTTCCCCGCCAGGTCGCGCGTGCTCTTGGTGTAGGTGTCAAAGTACGGCTCGACCGCAGACTGAATGAGAGAACGAAGAAACTCATAGGGAGTGCCGTCGGGCGAAGAAGCGTTATTAGAAAGTATAAAACCGGGCAGCGTCTGTATAAGGACTTGCTGGCTAAGGGGTATCGCGGGGTCTATGGGTATCGGTCGCTTCGAAATAACAACAAATGCTGCGCAGGTAGGAGAAGCGGTAATCTCAGTCGAAATGGTGTAGGTGAAGCGCTGGGTCGCCCCTGCTGCTTGTGTCAGTCTGGAGGTTCCTTCCCCGTCAGAAGGGTACCTGCCGTTTGCTCCATCCAGGCCATCGATGCGGGCTTCGTCGGCTCGGTCTTTCACAACGTAGAGCGCGGACTGCCCCTCGGAGGCGAAGCGGGCGCATCGTTGCAGCGTGTCCTGCAGCTTGGCGCTCGAGAGCAGACTGCCGGGTGCAAAAAGATCTTCCTTGGAGGCGCCCAGACTGACGTCAAGCACCTTTTCCAGGTGGTCGACGATGAGCTGGGGGTCTATCGAGGGTGGCGAGGGGCTGGGTGTGCGTATGCTGCCGTTGGGCGCCCCTGGGTTCAAGGGTCCCTCCATGTTGATTGTTTATCGCGTGTGTCGCTATGAAGACATGTGGTTTGCGCTTCGAGCGGAGTAGCGACGGACGGAAGGCGGAGTGATTGCTGCTGCTGACAAGGGACTCGGTGCGCCGGCGGTGATGGTGGTGCCTTTGTCTCAGTATATTTCCTGAGTAGGCGTACGCGAAGTCGACGCGCACGGCCGTCACACGCTTATCCTGACTAGTGGGAGCGGCAGGGGAAGCGGAGTGATCAGCGTCTGATTGGCTCCTCAATTCGGGGTCATGCAGTGCAACACAAGGCGTGGAATTCGTGGTAGTGGTCGGGGACGCGTTGTTTGCGGATGCTGTTGCAATGTTGGCTTTTTGCACGTCCAGCAGCCACTTCCTCCCACATAGGCAGCGGCGAATGGCGACAAGCAATGACAGCTCACCACGTGCAAAGTAAGCTAACGCTGGCTCCACTTTCTAGGCTAGCCCACCTGCTCCTTTCATCTCAGGTACGAAAGGCGGGCACGGGAGTTTCAGGACTGCAAACGGCGAGACTCTGGTTCGGGAATAAACGCTATCTATCTCTACTTCGGTCTTCCAGCTCCACATCCGTACTTCTTCTACCGTCTCCGGTATCATCGTCATCGTCGTCCCCCACCGCAAATGCTCCATCCCCTCTTTCATCATGGCCACTCCCCCGTCTCTCATCTCGCCCATCCCTGGCAGTCGCAGTGGTAGGACTTGCTAGCCTAACCTCTCCCACCTCCTTCAACCCAACCTTCCTTCTCCCCCAATTGACCACAGCCTTCCCCCAACTCGCCAACTTCTCCATGCCCTCCTCGCCATTGCCTGCTCCACCACCATGTGCACCTCCTGCCTCAACTTTAAATTGGTATTTGAGACAATCCTTGATGGTAACGAGACCAGTCAGACGGCCGCGGTATTCGATCAATATCACGCGTGGGCCCATCTTCTTGAAGAGCTCCATGACCGTTTCGAGGGGAAGACGAGGGTGGACTGAGAGTGGCGTTGGATCGATGTAGCGGGTGAAGTCGAGTGATGTTTGAGACGAAGTAGTGGGTATAGAGTCAAATGTCGTGTTCGGTGCTGGTGGACCAGTGCCGCTTGCACTTCGGGACCCCGGGTTGCTAGTAGACGAGGATGAAGAGAAGTAGCACTTCGCATGACCTGGAGCCTGTTGCTCGATCTTCGCGCGATCGATCGCATAACGAAGTTCCGTGCGGCCGATATAACCGATTAGAGTCTTTGTCTTCATGTCTTCCACGATGGGGTAGCCTTGGTATGCGTTTTCGTTCATTAGACGTTCCATTTGTCGAAGTTCCATGCCTGAGGCCTGTAGACAGACTACGCGGCTGGCCATGACTTGACTGACTGGAACACCAAACGTATGTTCTTCTTTGCTGTCGAGAAATGGGTAGCCGTTTAAGTAAATCATGCGGTCTGCGATTCCGCCATGGCCGAAACGTTCGCTGACCGCTTTCGTGACGCCGACGACTATCATAGTGGGAAGAATGTATGTTAATGCGCCAGTGATCTCGAACATGATGACCACGACGCTGACGGTGATGTGCATTATGCCACTCAATGCCGCTGCTGCACCAAGGAAGGCGTAGGTGCCAGGCGTAATACATGGTCCATCTGGGTCGCAAGCTGAGAAAAAGGCTGAGCCAGGGAAAGACTCGTGCAAAGCCTGGACGCAGATGCCGACCATACGACCGAATGCTGCACCAATAGCCATACTAGGCACAAAGATACCAGCCGGCACTTTGCACCCGAACGAGATGACTACCAACAGCGTACGTAACACTGTGGCAATAGCAAGTGTCGTGACATTGTGCCAGCGATGATTCGCGTCACAAAGCTGATCGTAGTCCTTGTCGCCCTCACACTCTTGAAACAGTATCTCCATACTCTCAGTCATATCAATCCTCAAGAACATGTTGGGGTAGCAAATCACGCCGGTGATGACAGCGAGAGTGACAGCTTCTGTGATGGGGTATGCAGAAAGGTACTTCTTGCGAAATACCTGCATCTTGAGGTTCCACTTGATGACGAAAGCGCCGTAGAGACCACCAAAGACACCAATGATGATATAGAAGAGGGTTTCGAAAAAGTGCCAAGAGCGGTCGTAGGAGACGTTAAACATGACGAGCTGACCGGTCCGGAAAGGGTTCATAGCCTGGCGCAAATCAGCACAGAAGTCCAGTATCTCCAATTGTCGTACTTACAGCAAGGACAGCTGTAGCGACCAGCGCACAGAAGTAACTCCTCCATAGCGTTTTGAGGGGAAATTGATTGCTCATCTCCTCCAGCGAGAAAAGCACGCCTCCGATCGGACTTCCAAAAGCCACTCCTACACCAGCCGCTGCGCTCGCACACAGTATCTCCCTCGTCTTGGCCGCATTCCTTCTGTATTTGTCGAAGAACCTACTGATCACATTGCCCGTGCAGACAGCGTAATGCACACTAGGCCCTTCTTTGCCGACCGACAGTCCCGAAGCAATAGCAAGCGGCAAGCCAATCGACTTGATGAAGAGTGTAGTAAAGCCCAAGAAGCCTTTCATGACGAACCCCGCAATGATGCACTTCATCTCCGATATCCCCGATCCAGCTGCATACGGCGCAAAGCTCTTGACCAGCCTGGCAGCCGTGAAGGAGAACAGCGCTGCGAAGAGTATGTAAAGTACATAGTTCACAGGCCAGAACCCACTCCAGCGCTTCCACTCAGGGCAACCTCCCTCAGCACCCCAACAGCAGAAACTCTCGTTGAGGTAGAAAGCCGTGGTGCAATGGCCCAGCTTGATATCGCTAAGCCACTCTGTCACGATATTCAGAAATGCTGCGTTGAGTCCTATCGCTGCGCCGACAAGCGTGACAACAATCCATGCTTGGCCCGCATCATATGCCTCTGCGATCTTCCTCCTCCACTTGCCCCGTCCCCGACCTAGGAACACTTTGCCCGTCCGCCCATCTTTGCGCACACCGATGTTATCTCTTTCGCGCCGGCGCGCTTTCCGTCGGAGTTGTTCGCGGGCGGCGTCTTGTACCCAGTCTATAGTTGTAAAGTCCTCGTATCGCTTTATCTCGGCTATCTCTTCGACGATGGCCGCGTCGGCGTGTGTTGTTTCCGCGGCTTCGGGGTCGTCATTGTCGATGTCGAGTGATAATATCGATTGGCCCGTTGTGCGCCGTCGGAGAGAAGGCGCGAAGGATGTGGAGCGTGAAGTCTGGCTAGGGCGCGAGGATGGGCGGCGCGTGGAACTGGGACGGAGGGGTGTGGGTTGTTGCGAGGATTGGCGGGCGCGTGAGCCCGAGGATGAGGATCGATTCATCGCATCGTTCTAATTATTGGTAACTTCGCGTGGCAGAGCGTGAAGTATTTCGGTTTCGAGATTTGGCTGGGTTGCGTAACTGGGGAGCTATCTCATGCAAGGGTCCCTTCCGTCCCAGCTCCAGATCGACGTCTCGCCCGCGGGAGTCCGCCCATTGCACCGCCACACTCATCCCATACAAGGGAAAAACTGAACACCCTGGAGCCTACATGAAGATGAATGCATGCAAAGTGGGTGACCCAACGTCAAAGTAGGCTCCCGGGGTACATAAGTAAATTCGGGGTATGTGCGTGGATCTGCACCGGACTCCTCCAAGGTTACTATGTTTTACGCATTTGACATTCATGACCTATCATGCACGAAAATTTATAACCTGAACCCACACTTTGCGGAGGAGCTCAAAGTCTCCAAGGGATGATTAAATGATATTCTAGAGGCATTCATTGCGTTTGAAAATTACAATTACCACCGTAGCACGTTAACCTAGGAAGAAAGGTAAACAGGCCTGCAGCCTACATCAACGTAGAAACATGCAAAGTAGATGACCTCACGTCGATGTAGGCTCTACACCTGTTCAGTTTTTCGACACTTCCGATAAAACAAGCTTCTTCATCACAACATCTTCCACGCATCGATTTGGCAGCACTTCGGTATCAAATTGAAAGGTTGTATTGTGCTTCATCTTGCGTCATACGGGGTATCAAATGCCTAAAAACCTTTTTGCTAAAATCATGTTTGCCGACTACATCTACTTTGCGCGCCCACCTATGCGCCCGCCAGACGGCATGTCTACTCCATCTCGATAGTTCCCGGAGGCTTGCTGGTGACTAGGGTTGTTAGTAGTTGCCTCGCTCAGATGAAAAAATCGACTTACTGTCGTATACCACGCGGCAAACTCCGTTCACCTCATTCACGATCCTCCTGCTAACCCGCTTTAGGAACTCTCCATCGAAGGGGAACCAATCAGCCGTCATGAAATCACTCGTCTCAACTGCCCTCAGAGCAATAACCTGCTCGTGAACGCGCTTGTCACCCATGACACCCACGGCCCTAACGGGCATAAGCGCTGCAAACGCCTGGCTGATCTTGTTGTATAGGCCTGCAGCCCGGATCTCCTCGATGAAGATGTAGTCCGCTTCACGTGCAATACGAACTTGCTCGCGTGTGACCTCACCCAGGATGCGGATGGCGATTCCTGGGCCGGGGAAGGGGTGGCGCCAAACAAGATCCTCCGGAATACCAAGCTCTTTGCCCAGCGCGCGGACTTCGTCCTTGAACAACTCGCGGAGGGGCTCAATCACCTTGAGCTTCATGTCCTTTGGCAGACCACCGACGTTGTGGTGGGTCTTGATAGTTTGGGAAGGACCCTTGAAGGACAGCGACTCGATGACATCGGGGTACAGGGTACCCTGAAGAAGCCACTCGACCTCACCAGCGTTGGAAGATTCATGCGCTTCGGCCTTGATCTTATCGGCTTGCTTTTGGAAGACCTCGATGAAGGTGTTTCCAATGATCTTGCGCTTCTTCTCGGGATCGTCGGTCACACCCTTCAGGCGGTCGAGGAAGAGGTCGGACGCGTCGACGACGGTGAGGTTGATACCCAGGCCCTCGTCGAGTGTCTTCTTGACCTGAACGGCCTCGTTGAGTCGGAGGACACCGTTGTCGACCATGACGGCGTGGAAGCGGTCGCCGATAGCCTCCTTCATCAGCTTTGCAGCGACAGTCGAATCGACTCCACCGCTAACGGCACCGATGACCTGTCCCTTGTCGCCCACCAGCTTCCTGATGCGTGTGATCTCCTGGTCGACGAATTTGCTCATGGTCCAGTTGGTGTTGGCCTCGCAGATGTCGACAGCGAAGTTCTTGAGCACAACCTTGCCCTGCTTGGTGTGTGTGACCTCGGGGTGGAATTGGATACCGTAGTACTTCTTCGTCTTGTGCGCAATGCCCGCGAACGGCGCATTGGTGGTTGTCGCGACCGTCATGAAGTCCTGAGGCATGTTGCTCAGCTTGTCGCCGTGGCTCATCCAGACCTCCAGGTCGTTGCCCAAGTCCTTGAACAGCTGGTCCATGTGTCCGCCGTGGCTCTCAACCTTCAAGTTGGCGTGTCCGTATTCCCTCTTCTCGCCAGCGACTACACCGGCGTTCTTTCCGAAGTGCCACGCCATCTCTTGCAGTCCGTAGCATATTCCGAGGATCGGTACGCCGAGATCGAAGACAGCGTGGTCGACGTGTGGAGCGCCTTCCTCGTAGACGGAGTACGGGCCACCAGAGAGAATGACTCCCTTGGGGGTGAAGGGCAGATCGGCGATCTTGGTAGTGCATGGCAGCATCTCACAGTAGACGTTGAATTCGCGGAGACGGCGAGTGATCAGATGCGTGTACTGCGAGCCGAAGTCGAGCACCAGGATGGTGTCGAACGTCTTGTGGGGAGGGATCGGATCGGTGTTGTCGGTCGCCATCTTGAAGTACTAAGAGTGTGATGAAAGTGAAAAAGAGAGGGGATAGAAGGAAAGAAAGAAGAAGAGAGGAAAGGGACGGGTATATGAAAGCAGAAGGTACGAGGGGCTCGGTCACTGACTCTCACAAAGTTTTGGCGGGGTTTTCCAGAAAAATTCTTATCGATAACAGAAAAATGCTATCTCGTGCTTCATCGTCCATGGTAACGCGCAGGCAGCACAGACTGCCGCCTGGGCTTATATATCACTCTGATGTATACATTACCGACAAATCGCGAGAAGAGGTCATACGAACCGCATTGTAGACGTCTAGCTTAAAATTTCCCCGCATGAGGTACAACTCAGGTGACGCAAGCATCCTTGTATAACCACTCTACGCGTATCGAAGCAGTCTCCAATTAGTCGATCATCGCCTATGGGTCGTAGTGCGAACTCATGACAGCCTTGGAAGCGGAATGGCTCTGTGGCTGACCGTGCTTGTCCTGAGCCCCGCCCAAAATTTCATTTATCGATAACGGCGTAGTTGGATCGCGCAAAGTCGCGTCTATCCAGTGACCTCACCCACCCGGCTCCCTACCAATCCCATACCTACATAATGGCGAAACGAAAGTCAGAGAGAGATCCTGAAGAGCTGCCCGATGCGTCGGACAAGCGCAAGCAGAACGATGACGACGAGTCCGGCAGCGACGAGGTATGCGCCTTCCTCACAACCTCTCATAATGCGCCGTCTCACAAAATTGCTAGGACATGGACATGGTTAACGTCGACTTCGAATGGTTCGATCCGCAGCCCGCAGTCGATTTCCACGGGCTCAAGAACCTCTTGCGCCAACTTCTAGACGTGGATTCGCAATTGTTCAATCTCTCTGAACTCGCAGACATTATACTGTCGCAACCGCTACTTGGCAGCACGGTCAAGGTTGACGGCAATGAGACGGATCCATATGCCTTCCTTACTGTACTGAACTTGGAGACACACAAGGTGCGATTCTATCATGCACAACTTCGCGGTACGCATGCTGACAGCAACCAGGACAAGAAAGTGATCCAAGACCTAACAACCTACCTCTCCAAAAAGTCCGCGCCGATCCCTACTCTCCCGCCCCTCCTGACACCGTCGTCGCCTGCGCAAATCGGCCTTATTCTGACCGAGCGCTTCATAAACATGCCGCACGAAATTGTCCCACCAATGTACACGATGCTTCTGGAAGAGATACAATGGGCGGTTGAGGAGAAGGAGCCTTACACATTCACCCACTACCTCGTCCTGTCGAAATGCTACTCGGAGATACAGAGTCAATTGCCGAGTGAAGATGCGCCACCGAGCAAGAAGAAGAACAAGAAGGCCGATGTGGGTGAGGAGACATTTTATTTCCATCCCGAGGACGAGGTGCTGCACAAGCATGCGGTGGGACACACAAGCTTTGAGTATGACACACCCGTAGATGAGGGTGCGAGTGATAGCAAGAGGGCGTTCCAAGAGTTGGGTGTCAAGCCCAAGGGACATATGGTGCTGATCGAGGCGGACAAGTTCAAGGGTGCTGTGGAGGCTGTCAAGACGTTCTTGAATGGGCAGTAAATACGCAATGCAAGATGAATTCACCAAATAGTGCAACCAAAGAGACGAGGAAGGCTGACTCTAACTGGTGTTACATTGCAAGGACACAAGCCGAATCTATGTGAATCAAACCGTAGGAAATTGATGCTCGCTCCTATACACACAAGTCGACATCACCGCCATCCATCTCCGCTCAAGAATTGCTCTGCTTAACCAATGACAACCTTGCCGTCCTCGGGGAAGTCGTATGCGGGAATCTCCAGGTTGAGCGGGGCAGGTCCCTTTCTTATGCGGCCAGAGATATCGTAGTGGGATCCGTGGCAGGGGCAGAACCATCCTCCAAAGTCACCGGCCTCACCGATGGGAACACATCCCAGATGGGTGCAGACACCTAGTGCTGTTAGTCTTGGTTCATTGTAAGGATGTGTGCGGTGACGTACCCAACATGATCAACCACTCAGGCTTCTGGACACGGTCGGAGTCGGGCTGAGGGTCACGGAGAGACTGCCACTTGGTGTCGTCGGCCTCCTTGATCTCGCCTTCGGTGCGGTGACGGATGAAGACGGGCTTGCCTCGCCACTTGATAATGACCTGCGCTTATCAGCTTCACTGTCCGGATATGCCATGTCCAATTGTGAAACGTACGTTCTTGCCCTCGGGGATGGCAGCGAGGTCGATTTCTACCTTGGCCTGGGCCAAGACATCGGCGGAGGCGGACATGTTGACGAGGAAGTCTGTTAGGCGGAGTCGTTAGCCGTCCGGTCTTCATCAATTCGCGATCCAGATCATCCTCAAAATAGCCAATTGCTCTTTTCTAGCTCCAAATATTCCATCCCCCTTGTTTCCAACGTTTTCCACCCCTCCGTCGAGCTATCGCAATGTTGGAGACCTACCCTGTACAGTCGCCTTCGCGCCAAGCGCACTCAGCGCACCCATGGTTCCGACCATGAAGTACTGGAAGACCTTGGGGCCGGTCTCGCCTCCCTTATTCCTGTATGCGGCGAACGAGGGGATCTTGGTCGAGTCCGGGCTGCCCTTGAAGGGGCTGTCGAACGAGGAAGCCGAGGCGTTGCGGGTCTGCAGAGCGGTGCAGCCGGCCGCCCGAGCGACGGGCATCTGGTGAGCGGTCCATGAGCGTGCAATGGCACGGGTTGTGTTGGCGAGGGCGGGCATCGTGAACGCGGGTGGGCGGGGGTCGTTGTCGTTGATGGGGAGGAGCTTAGGTCGGGAATGTTGAAGTTTTGGCGGTTTGGCAAGGAGCGTTATGTCAGGTGTCGTGTGATTGGCCCAGCGCCCTTCCGCGCGACCTTCGCCAGATTTGAGCGTCATCGGCAGGCATTACCACGAGAGTTATACACTGTGATATTCAATTTCGGATTCATCCCATTTATTAGGCAGTTCGCAGACTTGTACTCAGAACGTGAATAATTGTTGCAAAGGAGAACTCGAGCGTCTCGTCAGCGTCCCAGGTGGTAAGATCGCAACATTTATACTGAGTTATCGAACCATGCAGTCTTCCTTCCTCGTCCAGCCAAATATTGCACGATAGTAGTCAAGACGGCAAGCGCTCTGGGTAAGCACCCTTGTTTGAATGTCTTGGCGACTGCCTGATTCCATGTGTGCCGCACGCAGTGTATCTCTCTTCGGACACGCGAAAGTCGTCTGGAAACAGTTGCTCCTCTCTCACTTCATTGTTGAATCCACTTTGTATCACTACAAGTAACCTCTCACAAACAATAAAACACACATCATGCCCCCCAAAGACTCTACCATTACATCCTACTTTGGGCCTAAGATGGAATCTCGCGCCCCAACAAAAGCCAAGGAAGCCACCAAAAAGACGACCGGAAAAGCGACCATGATACCATCGCCCAAGCCACAAGATAAAGGCAAAGGCAAAGGCAAGAGGGCGCTATCAGCATCTCCGGCACCAATACCTGAGAAGCGACAAGACACAAAACCCGCAGCCAAGCCCACAACACCGCGCCACCTCTCACACAAAGATCTCCCCTCGAACAAGCTCTCCCCATCACCAAGCTCATCTGATCTACCTACTCTGGCCCTCACTTACCACACCGGCGACATCTTCGACGCACCTCCACAGACTCTCCTAGTTCACGCCTGCAACACCCAAGGCGTATGGGGATCAGGCATAGCCAAAGCCTTCAAAGACGACTATCCAAAAGCTCATGTTATCTACCGAGATTTCTGCACCAAAGAACACTTACTCAAATCCAGACCGGTACCCACCGGCACCGCCTTGCTTATCCCACCTGTGGATGTCGGGAAGCGGCATTGGATCGGGTGTCTGTTCACTAGTGCAAAGTATGGCAAGGGTAAGGATAAGTCGGATGTTATTGTCGAGAACACGAAGCCCGCTATGGAAATGCTGTTTGAGCTGGTGAAATTGGCGGGTAGGGTTGAGACGGTCAGGATGTGCAAGATCAACAGTGGGGCATTCGGGGTGAAATGGGAGAGGACGGAAGCCGAGCTGGAAGGCATTGTGGTTAGGGAGGGGTGGATGGGGAGTGTGGAAGTTTGGGAACCGGAGATGGGTTGAGAGACCAAAGGAAGCACGAAGTATGTGCATGTGATGCAAGTTAATCCACGTCGGATGTCCACTCGAGGAAAGTCTAATGTGAACAATCACTTGTACATTTGGCACTATTCTGGTTCAATCGCATACCTATAGACAATGAAGTCGTGATGCGACCGACCATCCAAACAGCTGAGCCCCATTCCCATGATATCTTTAGCAAACGCCTTTATGCAATGCAAAATGAATCCGCTTCCATACCGTTCTGTCCCTGCCTACAAAGACAAGAGCCAATTTACTTTTGACCATTGATCGCAGTAAATCCACCTGTTGACCGCCTAGCCTCTGGGCTCTTGCTTGCACTCGCAGTGGGTTGACGAGGGGGCCCGCGCATCTCCATCTCGATCTGCATAGCCGCTGCGTCCTCTTCTGGCTCGCTGTCTTCTACGCGCTCCACTTCTTGGTCGACGTCCATGGCATCAGGCGTCTCGTCTGGTATGGCTGGTGTAGGCGAGGTTGTTGAAGCGCCGTTGGTGGGTGTCTCTGTGTCCTTGTCCGCACCCTCTACCGTCTTGGAGGCACCATCCAGCGTCTTCTGTCCGTTCACCGCGCCATCCTTCTTCGCGTCCTTCTCCTTCTTCTTCGCGTCCTCCTTCTCCTTCTCATCCAACTTCTTCTTCACAGTGCCCCATGTGCTTGTCCTGGGCGCAACATCGACTAGAAACTCAAGGTTGTCTGTCTTCGATATCGCGCTGCTCACGTCGCGGTATTGTATGTTGCGGCGCGGCTTACGCTCCGCTTTGACGACATTGTGTGTGGTGGTTGCGAGGTGCTGGATGAACATTTCTGTGGCCAGTGCGATGGCAAAGGCGGCATTTTTGGAGGTCGTGATGCGTTCGGGGTCCGCTTG